CTCGTGCACCACGAATCTTCCAGCAGGCAGACAATCATACTCCAACTGACTTGGTTTACGTGGATTTCTCAAAAGCATTTGACCGGGTCAATCACGCACTGCTGTTGTGTAAACTGACGAGTTTGGGGATCGACCAGCAAACAATCTGCTGGCTAAGTACCTACCTGTCTGGGCGCACCTACCGAGTTCGTGTAAACTGCGCTTCCCGAGGGGAAGAACCTATTGCTGCTAACCGCATGTTGCAATTGCAAAAATGAGCCTTTGGTCACATTGCGCCAGGAGATTCCGCCTCATGTGAAGCTGAAGCTCTCAATCACATTCCATATAACGTTCCAAAGTTTAGTACAAAACATGCAGCTCCGACGTTTACGGACCCATCCACTGCTGGTATGTTCCCCGCGCTGCAACCCATGTAGGGGAGACACCGGGACATAGAGCAGGGGTGGCCCTGAAAAGGGCCGTTGGGTCGTTCACGAAGACGTGGAGGTCAACAATGGACAAGCTACACCAGATGAACGTGTTACGGCGACTTATTATCCCCATGCTGCAAACCGCTGAAACGGAGAGGCAACGGTGCGGAACAACTGGCCTCATTGATCACACCGCTTACCTGTGAGGATCAATACTTGCTTGACATGCAGGAGGCAAAGCGTCTGAGTTGGCTCATGGACGTAGTGAACTGGAAAAGGACAGCGTGTGGCATGACACTGAACTTGTGAAATAACAGTCATCATTCATGAACCGCTTACATGTGAAGACGTCGGATCGAATGTTCACGCGGCGTAGGCAATGCGCAGTACTCATCAGGCAATGGGCGTGCCATATCACGTAACCTGTGAAACCGCAGTCTTGATTAAAGACATCTCTTACATCTGAGGAAGTCAGACTGAAAGTTTAGATGCGGGAGGCAATGCGTCGGAGGTGGCTCAGTGGCGGTGCGAACTCATCAGGCAATGGGCTTCGCATGTGAAATCACTTGTGATGTGAACATCCCTTATTGATCACGCTGCTTACGTGGGAGGACGGATGATAGAACGTTCACATCACGCAAACGGAACACGAACTGCTACCATTCATGTGCGGTGCAGGCCATAAGTGAAAGTCCGTAGACCATGGACACAAATAATGCAGTCTAAATCAAAGGTCGTAACGTGCATAATGCAAGCTTACCTTACGGCCGTGAGTCACCTGTACCCCAACATTGTTAAACTCACATTCGCACCTTCATATATCTGCGGCGCACTTCCATACCGTCTGCAACAATACAAATGGGCACAATAGAAAGTACAGGGAAACTATGCATACCTGCAGCGCCTGTCATGCTACGCAGTTCATGCAGCTGCCACAGACACTACGTTGAGCACGAATAGCGAATGAATTCTTCAGAACCACCATAGCATACACATGAGGCATGGTACCATTTTGCGCACGCATCGCACATCACCCAGTGCACCGAGTCCCCGCGATTTTCCACATCATCCTCCTGTTGACATACTCCGCAGAGATCCTCCGAAAACAAATCCTCGGTATGGCGCTTCCGTTTTACGGGTACCTTGTAGCCGGAGGTTGTGCGTGTGTGCAGTTTACGGAAGCCCTTGCCCCTTAGCGCACTCTTACTGGGGCTCACCTCCATCACACGGCACTTTAGGGGCGATTTGCGCTTCCTCGACGCAGTTGTAGAGGTGGATGGACCAGGTGTCGCGGTGACGATTTCAGAGCTGACTTCATTTACATGCGTCACTTCAACCGGGGCAGGCACAATCGCCTCCGACGTGCTGGGTACCTCCGGCATAGACAACCCGCACAACATCCGAACGTTGGCCTCCTGATCTAAAGGAAGCGGAACAGGGCACCTAGGCGTCTGAGCATACAACTGAAAACTGCCTTTGTTTGTCATCAGGAACGCAAGCATTTTTAGGTACATAAAAGCCGCGGAGAAGTTATCCGATCCATAACTGCACAACTGCGTGCCATTGTCAGCCAAAAGATGTTGAGTCCTGCGTAGCTTCATGCTGCGGCTTACAACCGCATCGGTATCCCCTTGCTGTTGGTCTCGAATCAGAACACCGCCATCAGATGCAACACTACCTGAGGAGGCTGCGGGAGGTTGCCGGGGTGCGAGCCACCGACATCCATGCAGTATGGCCTTCGCCGATTGCTCGTGAAGCGAGGCAACATAACAAATGTGAGCACATAGGAGCCGCCACTGCCGACTAAACTCGCAATCACATTCACTGCCCTGCGTGATGTATACTCGGCGGACTTTCGAACGACGGCAGGTTACCAACCAATATGGGCCATCAGAACGACAACTGAGAACGGTGGATGCACGGAAATGGGCTAGGAAAACATTGCCCGCGAAATCAGTCAGCTGTGCAAAGACAGAAGCCACTGAGGACACCTCCGATGGAACCGAAAGTGAGCTCATGCACCGCCAAGCTATAAGGCTGTTCCTTTCGTGCACGATATTGTTTACCCTATCCACCACGCAGGTGAACAGAGTTAGTAACGATGACCTCTCGGACAAATACTGCTTCAGATGCTTGTTTTCGTTTTCCACCCTGAAGGTGGTGTGGCATCCAAAAAGGACAACATCCCTTAGTCGGTGAGCCGCCCAGCAGTCTACGTATGGAAGCCATGTGGCGCACAAATACCGGTAACATTCCGGATTGCCACCCCGAACCGCGTTCAATACTTTTGGAAATACCGACGCATCGCGTGTATATATCAGGTTATGGAGCCACGCGCGCAACTGGATTCGACGACCATCAGAAATCCAACGTATCCGTCCGCAACGCCTATCCATGTCCGCTTTCACATGGAACCGACAAAACACAACTTTGGCGGTGGGATAATGACGCCTAAACGCCCGCAGTTGAGCAGCACACTTATCCATAACCAAAGTTTTGCAACGTATGCTGCTAAGCACCATCTTCCGCATGGCCTCAACCGCTTGCGCATAGCTGTATGACGTCTCAGCAGGTAATAAGGCGTAGAAAAACGATAAACCCAGACCTGTGACGTCAACGAACATGCAGTGCCACAATATGTATCCACCATAATTCAGTTGGTGCGTTGCATCGCAAAACAAAACCTCTTCATAACGCCTCACAATACCACCAACTACCGAGGGAGCGAAGAAACCATAACGAATCTGATTGCCCTCAGACACCAGTCGGCAAGCACCGTGCCGTTCCAAAATTTGTGCCACCTCCGACACTTCACATGACTCCGCATTTCGATGACGAGTACGCAAATTGCTCAGGTCCGCACGGGTCACACGTATGCCGTACTCATGAAGAATGAAGCGACGCAAGTCGGGGGTGCTATGAAAACTATCCATCAAACGCAGAACCTCCTTCTCCTGCACAGGAGACAGCCGACGATTGCGAGCATACAGCCACGGATAACCCAAGTGGAAATCATGACTATGGATCATGAAAGAACTTCGCACCACATATTTCCCATCCTTCAATACCAAGAAGAATCGCGCCTTGCATTTGTAAGATTGGTATCTATAGGCGTTAGCCTACAGGTGGTACAAATATCAACTTACCGCTTGCCACGCGATCCCGAACTTTCACAATGCACGCAACGGTACAGGATGTAACCGTAGGCGTCCCCGTCCACCAACTCTTTTCGCCTTCCACGCTGATACGCCGCAGCATAGATAGAAGTGAATCGGGAAAAACAAGTCGCCCTTTCAATCTTAAAACGTAGCAATTGCTCCTCCATGTCTTCCACACTTTCATACTTCCCAATAACCCAAGACCTGAACAGCTTACTATCGTTCACAGACATAGCGATAGCGGAAAAAACAAGTATGGCCACCGAAATAATAAAACACACGGCATCCATTCGCACCATCATTGGTGACCATTTCCATGGCATCATACTTGACACACAATAACTTTCCCCACACAGATCTCAGCTATTTCCACCTATTGCACAATCATCCCCCTTGGCAACGTCGCTAGGTAACCACGTTGCTATGTACCATTTGTACCACGGAACGTCCCAAAACAACACAATTTTTTGTTACAGTAATCACACGGTCCGCGATCGGATACATCTAATGTTTTGTTCATTTTTTCTGTGCAGATATAAACTTCATAAAGTTTGAACAGTTTTGTGGTGATCACAGCGTGAAGTAAAAATTTGACTTGCTGTATTACTTTTACCTACGGAGACTCTTAAACACACTGTGAAATATAATTTACAAATTAAGTTGCCTTGCTTAGGTTGACTTTGGGTTGATAACCAGTGATATATAAAGTCAGTTGTACAAAGCGTTCTTTACGTTTTCCTCAGATATATCCAATGCATTATGGATGATATCACAAATATTCCGTTGCTGCCTACACTGACAGCTGATAGTGTTAAACGAAAAACTAATTGGTGACAACGCGTTATTTGCGATGTGCATGCTAAGCTATTTCATCAATACGCAATCATCGCGCATTATTCGTACGGGTAAACATGATACTGGACAACACCAGAAACAAGAATATCTATACTCTGCATCTGTAGCAGTCTGGAGATTCCCCGGTTTGCCTGTGTAAAATTCTAACCAAAATTCTTTAATTGTACACTTAGGCAACCGGTGTGGTCTGTTGAACTGCTTGCTGAGTTCGAATGCTTTACTTGCTCATCGCCATTTTTGCTTGGCGCTCGCTTCGGTTGCAACGCGCGACTGCTCTGTGTGCTGTGCTTGCTCCGTTTCCCTAGCTAGAGCGTCCACGGTGTCGTTCGTTCATAGCTAGCTAACAGGGAATCTTTTGCTGAACCAATAAAAGTTTCCCTGCAACTCGATCCGTCTTCTGGAATCGCTCTCTGGGCTCCCGGAATAGGCAACCCTCTAAATTGGTGACCCCGAATCCGGAACAATCTCAGCGCCGGATATTTGGAACTTTTCTCTGGTGAGCTCGTTCCATTTATTTTTCATATTTTCCGGTTTATTTTTGCATACGGTAGCCTATTTTTGCATCATTTTTTAAGCCATGGAATCTGTAGACCATAAGGTAGAGTCTCTACTTAGCGTTGTATCTCTCTCAGTTCCACCTTTTTGGGACATGGATCCTGTTTTGTGGTTCGCTCTTCTTGAGGCTGAGTTTTATAACCACAGAATCACTTCCGACTACGCGAAGTATTGCAAGCTCCTGTCCTATCTCCCCAAGGAGATATCAATGCAGGTTCGTGACGTTATCATTTCTCAGACCGAAAACCGCTATGAGGCTCTCAAGGAGGCCACGATCAAGCGTGTTATGCCCTCTGAGAAAGTTCGCCTGCAGCAGCTTTTCAGGGATCTGCAACTGGGCGACAAACTGCCCTCAACCCTGCTACGGGAGATGCAGCAACTCCTTGGTTCCTCAACCATGGATGAGACTTTACTTCGCGAACTATGGCTACAACGGCTACCGGAAAACACGCAAGCGATTCTCGCTACAGTGAGCTCCGTTTCGCTCACTCAACTAGCAGACTTAGCGGATCGAGTTATTGAACGAGCACAGCCACAAGCCGACGCCAGCAAGATCAATGCCGTCGCGTCCCAGGGCACTTCTATCACTGGCTTACAGTCAACTATAGAAGCCCTGCAAACACAAGTCGCGACACTTAGTCGCCAGGTCCAGCAGCTTACTATGGACCGTCGTCGTCATAGCCGATCAAAATCGCCCTGCAAACGTTCTAAGTCTAACAACAGGCAAGCTAGCTGTTGGTATCATCAGCGCTTTGGTACCGCAGCTCGTAAATGTGTCAAACCTTGCAACTTCGCCGAGAAGCAGGGAAACTTCGCGGCCGGTCCGTAACGGCGACGGACGCGACTGGCCAACACCAAAGTCGCCTCATCCGCGTCAGGGATTTAACTTCCGGCACCGAGTTTCTAGTCGACACTGGTGCCGAAGTTAGCGTTATACCCCGTAGCTCAGATGAGGTCGTCTCACCATCGCCGACCAAGCTGCGTGCCGCCAATGGCACACCAATCGCAACTTTCGGCGAAAAGCTGCTAACGCTCAACTTAGGCCTCCGGCGAACCTTTCGTTGGCCTTTCATAATCGCTGCCGTGCCTTTCGCTATCATAGGCATAGACTTTCTCCAACGCTTCGACCTCATCGTCGACGCTAAAAGGAAGAAGCTTATCGACTCCAGGACACAGCTCAGTATTATCGGGACCAGCGCCAACGTGGCTGCTATCACTCCCATTCGTGTCCTACCTCAAGCTTCACAGCCTTTTCTAGAACTTTTCAGCAAGCACCCTAAACTCGTTCGCGTCCTGAACGACTTGCCTCCTGTGACGTCAAACGTCACGCATCACATCTGCACTAAGGGCCCACCTGTTTCGGCCCGCCCTCGCCGACTAGCCCCGGACAAGCTCAAAGCTGCTAAGGCGGAATTCGAGCAAATGCTCGAACTGGGAATCATCCGCCCGTCTAAAAGTCCATGGGCATCACCATTACACATGGTGCCGAAGAAATCCGGTGACTGGCGCCCTTGTGGTGACTACAGGGCACTTAACAAAGTTACCGTCCCGGATAAATACCCTATCCCGCACATGCACGACTTGACCTCAGCTCTAGCTGGCAAGTCTATCTTCAGCAAAGTCGACTTAGTTCGTGCCTACCACCAGATACCTGTCGCGCCAGATGACATTGCTAAAACAGCAGTCATCACGCCATTTGGTCTATTCGAGTACCTCAGAATGCCTTTCGGCCTCAGCAACGCTGCCCAAACTTTTCAGCGTTTCATTCATGAGGTAACGCGAGGACTCGAAGGCGTTTATCCTTATCTAGATGACATTCTTATCGCGAGCTCTTCTGATGAAGAACATCTTCGTCACCTCGACGCACTCTTCCAACGCTTAACCCAGCATGGGGTTACCGTCAACCCCGATAAATGCGAGCTTGGCCAAAGCTCCATCGACTTTCTTGGCCACCGCATATCCGCCTCTGGTATTGAAGCTCTGCCAGACAAAATCCAGGCACTGAAGGACTATCCTGCTCCCAGTTCCTTCAAGCAGTTACGCCGATTTCTTGGCCTGGTTAACTATTATAGACGTTTTATTCCTAACTGCGCGAGCATTGTTCAACCAATGACTGACTTGCTCCGCGGTAAACAACGGTCTTTTCACTTTACAGACGACGCTAGACTGTCTTTCGAGAAGCTCAAAGACGCTATCTCCAACATAGCGCTTCTCGCCCATCCAGACACGTCTGCACCACTCTCTCTGACAACTGACGCATCAGACACTGCCGTCGGTGCAGTTCTTCAACAACTCATCGACCATCGATGGATACCTCTAGGTTTCTTCTCGAAACGTTTACAACCTGCCGAATCGCGTTACAGCACCTTCGGTAGGGAACTGTTAGCTATCTACCTAGGTATCCGACATTTCCGTCACTACCTCGAAGGTCGACATTTTACCGTCTTCACCGACCACAAGCCATTGATCTACGCAATCAATGGCGCAACAGACAAGTACTCGCCGCGGGAAACTAGACACCTAGACTACGTTTCTCAGTTTACGACAGACGTACGTCATGTCTCAGGTGCTCTCAATCCCGTCGCGGATGCGCTTTCACGCATTCAACAGATCAGCTTATCGCCTAGCACCAACATTGATCTATCCGCTATGGCTGCTGCCCAACAAGCTGATCCCGACATCGACAAGCCACGACGCAACACCACTGAGACGATCACCATTGATCGACTCAAGCCAGCATTCTTCGACAAGTCTGACTCTTCGGTGCAGCAAGCACCTTCACAGCCTGTGCCATCACAGCTGGCACCGCAACCTCAGACGAGTCAGTCCGCTCCAGCAGAACCGACAACCCCAACCGACAGCACTCCTACTCGCCCTACTCTCAATCGACGCGGTAGGAAACTCAAGCCTCCAGTTCGTTTTTCAGACTTTGTCAGCACTTACTATTTTACGTAGAACGTGCCTTAGAAATTTTCTGCTCTTACTAAACGTTTTTGAAAATCCACAAAAAAGACCAAAACGTTTTGAAACTACCAAAAAAGAGCAAAACCTTTTGAAAACCCAAAAACAGCTTTGCACGTTTTTCGCTTTACACTCTTTTGTGTATGGCTATGCACTTACGCTGCTTTTCATTTTGCTTTCCATATACACCGTCGGTTGGTTGCACCTCGGTTTCACTTTCGCTGGATCCCCGCACGTCAACTGCAAGTGGAACGAACTTCCTGCTCAACTGCCTACGTGAACTTTATTAACTGTCCCCCCACAAACAGTTTTTTTACCGTTTCGACACCGTAGGGAGGACACGGGTGGGAGCCCGCTAGGGTCCGATTGCATGGTTCTCCCCCAGCAGCTGCATCGGGTTTCACAACCTGGTCTCGCAGAAGGCTGGCCCGCGACGGACAGTCCTCACGTAGATCGAAGGACTGCTTACACAGTCCCTTCTGGGAGAGGGCTATGTAGCAGTCTGGAGATTCCCCGGTTTGCTTGTGTAAAATTCTAACCAAAATTCTATAATTGTACACTTAGGCAACCGGTGTGGTCTGTTGAACTGCTTGCTGAGTTCGAATGCTTTACTTGCTCATCGCCATTTTTGCTTGGCGCTCGCTTCGGTTGCAACGCGCGACTGCTCTGTGTGCTGTGCTTGCTCCGTTTCCCTAGCTAGAGCGTCCACGGTGTCGTTCGTTTATAGCTAGCTAACAGGGAATCTTTTGCTGAACCAATAAAAGTTTCCCTGCAACTCGATCCGTCTTCTGGAATCGCTCTCTGGGCTCCCGGAATAGGCAACCCTCTGAACATCCACCGCCCGTTGCAGCTAAATGTTACTTTCATCAGCTTTTGCTAAACCGGTCCTGATAGTGCTTACATAATTGCGTCCATTACCTAACCTGTGTATTCGTATAAGCTTTAAAGCTTTTACGTTTAATGCGCTACTGTGCTTTCTAACCATGCGGTTTTCAATCTCCACAGACACAATTCGTGTGTTACAGACAAAATCTGTCATTAAGTTCCATTAGTTAAAACGTAGATACCTGGTTTCACGTAATTCCGTCTGACAGCCTGTTCATGTTTATAGTTATAAAGGAGTGAAATGTTTGCCGCAATTATATACCCTAGACAACAAAAATTGATACTGTCTTTTGCATGCTCCTGCATCCGCACAAATGCGCAACATGCAGGTTATTGCATTTTCTCTTATGCTTGGGAATAATGTTTATCCCAATTATTCCGTTGAGCTAAATGTAGCGGCTGCTATTACATTTCAGTCAAACACATATTGGTAATCAGCTTCATAGGAAACAAGTTCCAAATTTATCACATTAGCTTCAAGCTAATTCTTGCTATAATTACCTACTGTGCAGCTTTTATTATGATACATTGCAGGTCAATTCGCTAAGCTCAGTGAAATGTATAGGACGTAGTTATGCCGATTTGTAGCGTAGTATTATGTCGGGTGAAACAGCTTTTGCTTGACAAGTCCCGCAGGGAGATTTGGGTAGAAGTACAATATAAAAAAATTGGTGAGTAGTCGGTTTGACCGTTTGTCCAGCAGTTATGTTCCTGAATGATATTAGTGTAAGTAGAATTCGGATGCGTTCGGCGATGCAACAACTGTTCAGTAATAATTGGCATACGCCGTGACCAAAACAAAACGTAGAAGGAATACTTTATTTCCGTCCCCGCGGATTCATGTTAAATATTAACCCCGCTTGAAGGAATACCTTAAATTCTGCAATGTAGCACAGATTGGACAACAAGAAGTGGTGGCAATGAGCAAGATCAGATTTTATTTGGAGATGAAACAGCTAATTTTGATAGAGTGTTTCACTTGACAAACCAGAAGGGAACAATATAGTTCTGGCGGCAATCCAAGTGGTTGCACTGTGCAATTAAATGCAATGCTTTAACTTCAGGATTGGTGTTATGTCTGACTTATCGCAAGTGACCTATACATGATAAGGGTCACACAATTTTGACATCGTCGCGCTGCCTTCTGTAGTGGCCATTGAAATACCCTTGTGACTTCAGCCTTTAAAATTAGGACAAATAGGACAGATTCCGTTGTTTCTTGACGTCCACTGTGGCCTTGGGGTGTGGGTTCTCCAGCACTTCTAAGTCACGCTTCAACAAAGGTTGCAAGCTTGGGTGGCGTATTCAACGTGAAGGCGCTCGCAAAAGTTGTGCATCATGGGGAAGATTGATGGGTCAAAACATCCGAATGCTCAACGTTGATAGACTCAATACCATTGCAAATAACTAAGAGCAGATTGGCAGGACGGTAATTGAATGGAACGGCGCGACGGCCTGCCTTATGAATAGCAGTGAGAACCACTTGCTTCCACATTCCTGGAATCTGACAATGCGTTGGACAGCGCTGATATAATGTCTCCATATGTTCGGCCAAATAATTGGATGCTACCTGCAAAGTCTTCGGTCAAATATTTTGAACAATAGGAGTGCTGTGTAAACGCAGATACAACAGCTAAATTAACATTATTTATGCAGTAAATATGACACGAAATAAATCCCAATGGGGCACAATAAAAACAAGGATAAACTTCGGGCACGTTACTCTCTGAAATCTATTTGATTA